TTAGTGTCCCTTCCTCCAGCATACGGCCTTTTGAGGGGGCAAATGAATAAAACAGATGTCCAAGTGTTGTGAGAGCTTCTCAAAGTGGGGGTGATAAATACACACCCGAAAAGGCGTGTCAGGCTCTGAGCGGCAGGATTCACAGGACAAACGCATTCAAAACACAACAGGGAGGCTCTTGGGTGAGAAAGTGCATTCCCAGGTGTTCCAGCAAGGAATGCGTTGGGAGGGGGAGCCGCCCTTCTTGGCACCCAGCCTTACCTGTGAAGCCCCAGGATCCCCCTAGAAAGATAGTGTCAAGAAAACTTAGAAGTGGCCAGAGTAGGAGGAAGAAAACCAAGAGACTCAGGTGTCCTGGAAACCAACAGGCAAGTTTCCAGGAAGGAGGGGTGGTGAGCAAGTATCACATGCCTTCAAGGTCAAGATAAGATCTGAAAGAGTCCTTTGGATTAAACTACAAGGAAGTCATTGGTGACCTTGACTGGTAGTGGCAGAGGAGTGGTGGGGACAGAAGCCAGGCTGCCTCAGGTTATAAAGTGAACGGGAGGTGAGAAAGTGGAGACAGCAAGTGTAGATGGCTTTGGAGAGGTGTGAAAACAAGTGGTAGGAAAGAGATGGGGTGATTGGAAGGTGACACGGGATTGACGGGAGGTTGGCATTTTCTATTGTTATTTATAAGATAAGGCTATCTGAGCAGCCTGAATGTTGACAAGAAGGATCAGAAGGAGGATGCTGAAGACAGATAAAACTAGCCTCGGAAAATGGGTGGTCAGGTGGTCTGAAAGTTGCTCTTGTTTCAATGCACTAGGAAGTGACACCACCCGCTGACAGTGAGGGAGCAGATTTGGAAAGCCAGGAAGTCTTGATTGGGTCCTTAAGGAGAAGGGGACGTGCTGGCTGGACAGAATTCAAGGTCCGATAGAGGTTGGTGACCATCTATGAGAAAGAATGTCTCCCGGCAAAGTCAAGCCCCAGCAGTGCCCAGCAGCCCCTGTGTAGACCTAGAGAAAGCAGAACAGTTGGATTAATCTAAAGTTGATAGTTTCTTCCAGCAAGTGGGACCAAGGGACAAGGGCAAGAGGGTGGCTGCTGTGATGGAACGTGGAGACAAAGCT